TGGTCCTGAAACTTTAAAACTCAATATTAGAAAAATCTAGCGGGTCTAGATACCACTCTGAGCACAGCCAAATTAGCCTAGTCATCCCTAACCAACTCCTTAAACTCCTCCATATACAGGTTTAACATCCTCATGAAGGTCCTAAAAAGCCTGGACCTGGTCAGTGCAGCCACCGGAGCCCTCTTGAGTCACTACCCAAAAGTGCCGCAAACTCCTCGTAGGTCAGGCACATCTCCTTGTAGTGTAAGCATGAGTTTATGAAAGCCTGGTCAACCAACAAGCCTCTCAAAGTCACCAAAGAAACCACACCATACCGGCTTAAATTAATCTTCTAAACCTTTTCCAACTTCTTGGTCCACATTTGCATGCCATGACTAACAAAAGGCTCCATCTTTTGGGTATGTTCTTGAAATTTCACAAAAATTGTGCTCTAGGATGCAAAATGACACTATTTTCTGGCCATAAATGAGGTATCTATAGGCTTTTAACCCCTAGCCTAGCACTGGTACTGACCTGCCGAGCGCCAATACCAGGAAGGCCTATTGGTGGCCCTTCCACTGGTATTAGAAAGGCCTATTGGTGGCCCCTCCACCAGTATCAGCAAGGGCATCATCGGTACCGATAAAGGCCTCCTCGATGCTGATCAGCCCTTTTACAAAAAAAATCCATATTTTTTCTCAAAAATCCATAATTTTTCATAAAAATTGACAAATTTCTTAAAAACAACAACGAAAAATGCAATTTTCAGACAAAAATCAATTATTTCGCCAAAAGCCAGATTTCAGACTGCAAATTAAACAAATTATCACCAAAGTCAAGTAGTCGGAATCAAAACTAATTTTTTGGCAAACCTAGCCTAAAAACTTCAACGCACTTACTCAGAAGTCAAGCCGAGACTCAAAATTGGCCATTATGCATCATACGTATTATTTTATCTACTAACCATAACTTTCAGGTCAATACTCGCAGCAATGAACAGTCAATCAATGCAGACTAAGTTCAAAATAGGGCAGTCAGTGCGAAAGTCAGAGTAATCAGGGCAATCAGTGCCCAAGTCAAAATAATCAGGGCAGTCAGTGCCAAGGTCAGGATAATCAGGGCTGTTAGTGCCAAAACTAGAAAAATCAGGTAATCAGTGCAGACTTAAGTTCAAAATAGTGCATTAAGTGCAAGATAAGCAATTACTGCAAAAGCCAGAAAAATCAGCGAAATCAGGGTAACCAGTATCAAAATCAAAAATAGGCAATCAATGCAAGTTCAAGCAATCAGTGCAATCATGGTTGAAACTGGCAATTAATGCAGACTATATTTCAGAACAGGGAATTGGTGCCAAAGTTGGAAAATTCAGAAAAAAACAGTGAATTCAGTGCAAGATAAGCAATCAGTAAGTTCAAAATAGTGTATTAAGTGCAAGATAAGTAATCACTAAAAGCCAAAAAAATCGGCGAAATCAGGGTAGTCAGTATCAAAATCAGAAACAGGCAATCAATGCAAGTTCAAGCAATCAGTGCAATCATGGTTGAAATAGGCAATTAGTGCAGACTATAGTTCAAAACAGGGAATTGGTGCCAAAGTTGGAAAATTCAGAAAAAAAACAATGCATTTAGTGCAAGATAAGCAATCAGTACGATCAGTGGGAACACTAGTATAAACTGGCAATCAGTGCAAGTTCAATACAAGCATTCAGTGTAGAATAATGAAAATAAAGCATATCAAACATGCAACTAAAATTTGATAATTTGATAGATATAAATGGCCAAGTTTTACAAGAAAAGATGACACAATTAAATCAACATCAGCACAAAAAGGTATAACATGGTTGCATCAGAAGCCACCCGAGCGTAAACTAAAGACTTATTCTAGAAAAGCAAAAAATAAAAGCAGAGAGGCAACAGGCCTAAGGCATCAATAGGGTTGGAGCTCCTTTCGCAACACCTTGATGTGGCTTCTCAGGAAACTCTCCCAAGTTAAGGCTTCAGACAGCGCCCCGTGGAGCTAACTAAACCGAACGGTCACCCCCTCACACCAGCCTAGAGGGGGCTGCACTATCAGACACAAAGTTTAAAGTTAGTAAACTACACAAAGAAAAAAAAACTGAACAAGCAGAGAGAAAAGGAAGACACCAGCACGCCCTTGGTATACTCAAGCCAGTGATCTGGAACATCCTCCGAGATAGGTAATTGACTGTGCCATGCAGAGCAACGAATCCGATGCGTTGCATGCTCTCAGATAGCAGATCCAGCACTGAAAGAGTAACAGTCCTCTGGCTGGGCCCCATCACTGACAGCGGAGCAAGGACACGATCACGGTCACCTCACCTAGATGGGGGGTAGGTCGAGGAAATGTCCCCACTTTGGTCAGACTCATTGAGTGGGGAATAAGAAGTCATTGATGATTGCAGGTTCATTTTGGTAAAGTATCGGTAAGAAAATAGCTTACTAAAAGAGAGACAAGAGAGAAAGCAAGGAGAGAGTGGTGTGATCAAATGGGCCACCCCCCCCCCCCCTCATTTTGGTAAAAGTAAATCGGTAAGAAAATAGCTTACTAAGAGAGACAAGAGAGAAAGCAAGGAGGAGTGGTGTGAATCAAATGGGCCTACCCCCCCCCCAATTTATAGAAAATGGGGAAAGTATAAGCCTCGCTTTGATTAGGATCGAAACTTTTTGGGACTCAATCCAGACCCCCCCCCCCCCCCAATTTATAGAAAATGGGGAGTATAAGCCTCGCCTTTGATTAGAAGATCGAACTTTTTGGGACTCATCCAGACTCAGAATTTCGCACGATTTCAGCATATGCGACCTTGATAAACTTCCAAACAAATTTCTATCCTCTTTGGTGATGGACTTTTATAGAAAGACCCGAAAAATCAGCTGAATCAAAATGATTCCAAAAAGATGTTCTTAGAATCAAACGAAATTTTCACACAATGTACTAGACATTGCCAGGACCTGCAAGGTATGGTTTTTAGAAAAATATTTCTAATCAGAAATGCTGAAATCAGGGTCCGTAAGCTTCAACCAAGATCAAATTTGATCTTCTAAAGGGGGCAACCTGTTGAGCATGATTTCAGTACTAGGCTCTAGGACATTCCGCTATGGTTCCAACGGCGTGAGAATCAGCTTGATCATATGTCGTTTAGGCCTCAGATGGACTCCCGAAAGCCCGAAAACTCAAAAATAAGCCAAAAGGGTAGGGTAGTAATTTGCCTGATCGATACCGACCTACCCAGCGCCGATATCAATCACCTGCCTGCTGGTACCAACTGATCCCCCAAGAGCAACCTTCATTGGTACCAGCACTGACATGGCCGGTACCGACACCGATATGGTCGATATCGACTAGAGGCTCCACAGCCTATAAATTCAGCACAACGCCTTTCATTTCAATTACCTACCGTTGCTTGATCGAGCGCGTCTCAAGCATCAACAGCTCTATTTCTCCCTTTGTGAACTATTTTAAGGCTATAAAGTTCAACTTTGCTCTTCTTCCTTAGTTGAGTTAAGGCCCGACTTGGTTCTCAAAAGTCAATCCTTTCAACTTTCTATCAAACTTTGGTCTTCCTTAGACCAAAGCTAAATATTAGATTAAGATTAATTTCGGTTCTTTGTGCCCTACCTTTGCTTTTGGAGAAAGACTCGACCTCCATAGTCGTTTTCAATCGTGGAGCTATGGAATCGTACACTTGCACCACCAAATCCCTCGACCCCTCGACATAGGTATACGCCTAAACTCAAAATTTTGACAATTAAGCCTGGTCCATTCGAGATATAACATGCTTTAAAGCCTGGACCATCCAGCAAAACCGCTAAAATAAGTTTTCAACCAAAAATCCGATTCGTCCAACACCCTAAACCCAAAATACTTGAATAAACTCATTAAGTGACCAATATTGAATCCTAGATAGTCTCTTGATGATTAAACATTTTTAATTTTCTTGATATTTTTTCTCTTACATCGTAAAATTGTTTTTGATTTGAAAAAAAAATAGTATTTATGAAATTACAAAAAAACTATAACTATATATTTATATTTTGTGTGACTTTTTGGATTTCAAGAACATGTTTGTATGTTCATATATTCATTTCTCTAATCCAATGAGTAAGTAATATTGTTACTGTAACTAAAATGATTACTATTATCAATTCAAATCATCTTCTCAATTATTTTCTTTACATAGTAGTAAAAAATAAATTATTATTATTTTTCGTTATAATTGTATATAGATATTGATTTGAGGTTGAGGACAAAAGGTTAGGGTAATGACTTGATTATTCTTTTTGGACATCTATTAGGGTTTGCATTTATAAATGAAAGACTGAAAAATTAGGAATAGGGATTGAGTTAAACTTTATTTTAAGACTACTTCATTATATAAAAATAAAATTAAGTACATAAGGAGTAGCAATACAAATAGTTTGTACAGTAAAGTCCAATACAAATTAACTAATTGTATCTAAACAAAAACACTTGCTTTAATATTGTATAGATAAAAAAAAAATTAAAAGAGTATAAAAGGTAAGAATATAAAAAGCATAATTAACGTGCAACTCACGTCATAAAAAAGACTAGTATTTTAAAAAATGGTATTAGATACGATAATAGTTGTAATAGAATACTAAATAAAATAAAATTTCAAACTCATAATTATCAACATTTTAAAGTTTTCTTTGTTGCAGAAAATAAATAAATAAATAAATAAATATGTACAGACTGCAGAAATTAAAAGGCAGATTGAGCAAGAAACAAAGGCTGAAAGCACATTCAAAAACTCCTTGTACTTGTTACTCTCAATTCACTCGCTTCCTGTCTTCTTTGCATACTTGCTTACCAACCCAACAAATAGGCTATTCGACTCTTTTGTCCAACTTTATAGAGTACTTTAGCTACAAAATTAAAATATGACCTTTTAGCATTTCGCTAAGTTAAAGGGACAAAATGAGACTTTTTTTTTTCCCCTATTCTTCATTAAATAAACCACTTCCTCAAACTTACAACTAGAATACCAAAATCAAATAATTGAAGCTTACTAAAAAATAATTCCTAAATTAACATCAGATATTTAGACAAATTATCATTATGACAACGAAGATAAACCATATCAATTATTCCTAGACTAACAAAATATTTACCATGCTAGAACCAGATTTTGATGAACCTATCACTTGAAATGAATTACACCATAACATTTTCACAAGTTAAATAACCAACAATTAAAATATCAAATACAGAGCCAAATTAATCTATTCATGCTTCTTCCCCTTGAGCCTTCCTTTGGGAATCTTACTAAGGAAACCGGAATCCAGCTTACGGTAGTGACCTTGCAGCTGTTCAAGTACCTTGTACACAAAGTCATCTACTTGGTCTTCATACCTCTCGTATAGGACTGGCAATGTGTGTGCAGCTACAAAACCTTAAGAAGAACAAGACAGTCAGAAACACAATATACCACAAAGATTGTCAATTAATTCTAGAAAAAGAGTAGTTACATTGACTAATTACCCTTTTATCAATTCTCCAAATCTTTAACTAAGAAAGAAAGGTGGTAAGGAAGATTATATAAAGGTGATAAGGATGAGAGAAATGATGTAATTTAGTAGAGATAACAAGAGACAAGAGTTAAATTGAAAATAAGAATTAATAGTTAATTTTGTAAAATGATAGATGAAGTGAAACAGAAGAAAAAAAAAAAAATCCTAAGGTAACACTTAAACTGGACTATGGATTACTCCTTTATATAGTACTAGTTTAAAATTCATTGTCAGCTTTGTTTATTCATCTTTGTTTACCTTAGCTTTTGTTTAGGATCTAATAATGATACAAGAATGATTCACCATTCTACCATTAGACGATTCTAACTTCCTAATCCTGTAATTTAATCTTCAGATTGAAATTTCAAATGAAACAAATTGAAGCTCATTTGAGACCTTGTAAAATGATTATAAATGGACCATTTTGGCTATAATGCACGGCAATAAAGTAGGATAAATATCAAAAAAATAAAAAAAATAAAAAATAAAAAATAAAAAATAAAAAAAAAGAAAAGAAAATCATGTGTAAAGGGGTAAAACAAATCATATTAGTCTCAAAGCATCTATCAAGAAATCTTACTTCCTATTGAGAGATTATATTGTAATTGTATTTCTTGTATCTCATCAATCGATTACATAGGTCTATATATAAGGAATTCCTATGCTACCTAGCTATTTATCTATCAAGAAATCTTACTTCCTATTGAGAAGATTATATTGTAATTGGTATTTCTTGTATCTCATCAATCGATTACATACGGTCTATTATATAAATAAGGAATTCCTATGCTACCTAGCTATTTAGGAATACAAATCATAAACTAATTAAGAATCTAACTACTAATAGAACTCTATTTACAACTAATCCTTAACACTCCCCCTCAAGTTGGAGTATAGATGTTAATCACGCTCAACTTGTTACAAACTACTACTTTCAGCAAAGCACAATACACATCACCATCCGACCCAACCCTACAGCCATGGCTTCTCCTGGAAGATCTCTCCCTTTTTTCATCCTATGTGGGTTCCTTTTTTTCTCTTCTTTAGCGCTAGACATGTCGATTATTGATTACAATATCAGGCATGGACAAAACCCAGAAGAAAGAACAGACGCTAATGTTCGGAGAATCTATGAGATGTGGCTCGTCAAACATGGGAAAGCTTATAATGCTTTGGGCGAGAAGGAGAAGCGGTTTCAGATCTTTAAAGATAAGGAGAAGCGGTTTCAGATCTTTAAAGATTATCTTAAATTCATCGATGAGCATAACTCGGTTAATCGGAGTTATAAGCTTGGATTGAACCGGTTCGCCGATCTGAGTAATGAGGAGTACCAGGCGATGTTCTTGGGTACAAGGATGGAAAGGAAAAATAGATTGGGGGGCGATGTTCTTGGGTACAAGGATGGAAAGGAAAAATAGATTGGGGGCATCGATGGGGACTGAAAGTAGGTATTTGTATAAAGAAGATGATGATTTGCCGGAAAAGGTTGATTGGAGAGAAAAAGGGGCTGTTGTTCCTGTCAAGAATCAAGGACAGTGTGGGAGTTGCTGGGCTTTCTCAACTGTTGCTGCAGTAGAAGGGATTAACCAGATTGTAACTGGTGATCTAATCTCTCTATCAGAGCAGGAGTTGGTAGATTGTGATAGATCATATAACCAGGGATGCAATGGAGGTCTTATGGACTATGCCTTTGAATTTATTATCCAAAATGGTGGTATTGATACTGAACAAGATTACCCATATGAGGCTGTTGATAATGTTTGTGATCCATACAGGAAAAATGCTAAGGTAGTTACTATTGATGGATATGAAGATGTTCCTGAAAATGATGAGAAATCCTTGAAGAAGGCTCTGGCAAATCAGCCAGTTAGTGTTGCCATTGAAGCTGGTGGCAGGGCTTTCCAACTTTTCCAATCGGGTGTTTTTACTGGTAGATGTGGCACACAGCTTGACCATGGTGTGGCTGCTGTTGGATACGGCACAGAGAATGGTGTAGATTACTGGTTGGTGAGGAACTCATGGGGTCCTGATTGGGGTGAAAGTGGTCATATCAAGTTGGAGCAAAGGAATACAAACTACTACTTTCAGCAAAGCATAATACCATACTCAGCAACCGTACCCACTTCATTATAGCAATATAGAATCCCAAACCAAATAGTAGCAGAATTAAGACAACACACTTAGGTTGTCAAAACAAATCTCACTAAACCAGAAAACAACTCTAAACCAGAAAACAACTCACAGGGCTGTTTTCAAGCTTAACATAATCAATGCCTCAAAAGAGGAAGCACGTAGCTCAGATAATCAGAACGCAGCAAAGGAAAATCTGCAAACGGAGCACACACTGATGCCCCAAGAAAACAATGCAACTCACTGGGATTGCATTGCTCTCGACAAAGGAGAAAGGGTTCAAAAGCAAGAATAACCCATAACTGTAGCAAGGTGCAGTAACTGAACCCTAATGCAAAAAGGGTATCAGAAAATCACCGAAAATTACCTAATTGTCACAGCAAAGGAAAAATATGTTTCCTTAGCAAATTAAAGCAACAACAGTAGCAGAGGACTGCCCAACACAGCTGCAACAGAATCGCAGCAAACAAACCTATTGAATAAGCCCAAGAATGACGATGCAACTCTCTGGGTTGCATGTCTCTCTTCAAGCCAACATCGGAGAGAGGAACCGGAGTGAAAAAGACCATTGGACATGGGCCAGCGCGTGAACCAGAGCAGGAAGAAAGAGGTGGCGAGTGGTGGCCAATCGCTTGGAATCCGGCGACCAGATTCCGGGGAGTCGCTGATCGGCGGCTGGAGAATATACCGGGGTGGGCGGTGAGGCAAAATACTAACCCTAGAAAGGCTTCCTAGGGTGGCAATGGCTTCTCGTAAGGGAAGTTTCGGGAAATCTCTGTTTTTTTTTTTTTTTTTTTTTTTTTTTTTTTTGTTTTTGAATGGAAAGGCTCTGATAACCATAATTGAGAGATTATATTGTAATTGTATTTCCTTCGTATCTCACGATTACATAGGTCTATATATAAGGAATTCCTATGCTACCTAGCTATTTAGGAATACAAATCATAAACTAATTAGGAATCTAACTACTAATAGAACTATATTTACAACTAATCCTTAACACTTCCTAACTCATGATACATCAATGAAGGCAATTACTGAATATATCTAATAAATAAAAGATCGATAAAATGCTATTTATCCCGTGAAGTTTGATCAAATTCATCGGTCATTAGGGGCGGAACCAAGTGGAGATTTGGGGTGGCCAAAACTCCAGAAAATATATTGCTTACAAAAAAAAAGATTATGCACCCCACAATTGAAAAAAAAAAAATACACTTTGCTCTCCCCCCCCCCCCCCCCACCCCCCCCAAAAAAAAAAAATGCAAAAATATTACATCCCCCCCCCCCCCCCAAAAAAAAAAAAAATGCAAAATATTACATTTTGCCCCCAAACTTCTTTCTTATTCCACCCTTCATGACCTCTATTTTCAACACTGAAATACGTAGTATCTAATATTAGTTCCATTAACATAAGCATCCTTGCATTAGATTTTTCTTTTTTCTTTAAGCTCACATGAAATAACAAGACTAACTTCTCTACCATTGTCTACCTAGCTTTGGCTCTTTTGCTTTCCTCAATTTGCTTGATAGTCAAAGTTAGTGAATAATTTTCTTGAGTTTCTTTCTCCATTTTCCTCGCAATACATATACTAACCTAACACTTCTTTCATTTATTTTTTTCCATTTTCTGGAAGCCAAATACTAACTAATATTTTCTTGGCAATGAAATCCACACCGACCACTTTCTTCAATTTTTTTTCCCCATATGCTTGCCAACCAAACATGAACTTACACTTTTCTCTATTCAGTAGTAAAAGCTAAACCCTCCATTCTCTTTCATCTACAAAGATCACATCAATTTGTCTATCAAATTTCAGACCCATGCCCGAGAGACAAATCTTCATTTCTCACCTATCTTAAGCTGACTACTATTCGTTTGATTAAGGGAAATTTATCTACCTTGCTCAAACATAGTTTTCCGTTTTATGATTTACTTTGCAAATATATCAAGTTTTATCATTTAATATTTTAAGGGCATATTTTCTTTATACTACAGAAACAACCTCTGCACAAAGCAGAATAAAAGCTGCATATATCAACCCTCCCCAAAGACCATAAATATAAGATTCTTTGTGCAGTGAGCTAGATCAAAAGCAAAGAAGATACTTTCTTTCTATTGCTAAAAGATTATACAAATAAGAAGTGTGGCATGTGAGTGATATGCACATATTAAAAGTGTGTCAGACATGTAAGTTGGACATGTCTAGTATATGCGCATATCAGGCAGGTGCCAACAATGCATATCTCACATTGAAGGCATGGTAGCGCTTCATAAAGTGTTATCAATAATGATGTACAGTTTGCAGTATACATTCTTTTTTTATTAACTCATAAGAAAACACGGAGCAAAAACTCATATAGGAAATCAGCAATACTTGATATAATAATAGATGCCACACTTACCAATATACATAACAGTTAGAAAATTGCACCAGCTCCCAATGACAGCAGCAGCCCACAAACTAGCTATAACCTGAGAGAATTCCCCACGGGAATTAATTACTCTCACCGAGAGTCCAACAAGTGAAAAATTAACTATATATGTAAAAATCTCAAGTAAACTTGGAAATAAAGTTACTGAGTAGGTACAGGAAGAGTAGACAAGTTTCTACCACTTGTACCAATTTAATGCTAAAAAACAAATGAAAAATGAGTTTCACACGTAGAAATTTAATGCTACACTCTCCGTTTTTTTTTTTTGGTACAAGGTATAACAGAAATTTTCTAAGGCACATCTATGAAAATTTCAACTTCTAAACTCTTTCACTATAAGATAAGCACTTGACAACTAGGCCATTAGTTCAACAATTAAAAATTTCTTCTTTTGCATTGAAAAATTTTTTATACATGCAAGCATGACATTTGGAATCATACTATTCATACTATAGTCTAAAATAAATAGCACTGCAATCACTAAATTCCCAAGCATTATCTGATTCTTGTTTTTTTAAAACCTTGATTAAATCTTGATTTCAATTGTGAAAAGGGAAGCACAAAATCGTTGATTGAAGAGCACCACCTTCCATTCAAGAAAGATAACGACAGGGAAAGAAATACTTTTCTTTTTATATTAGGACACAATTATGAAAGCATCATCAAATGAGAGAGAGAGAGAGAGAGAGAGAGAGAGAGAGTGAGAGAGATGCATGAGAATGATTTGACATTAACAAAAAATTTTGAGGCTTAGAAAAAAGTAAAAGAGTTGAAATTTTTCCAAAATAAATACCAAAAGCATACACACACAACGAATTGTATTATATTACACAAATAATTATACATTTTTAAGAGAAACTCTCTCTTTCATTTTTCATTCATAAAACTCTCAAGAACCCATCTCTTCTTTAACCCACAAAAAGGGAAAAAGGCAAATCTGAACCAAATAAACACTGAAAAAAGAAAATCTAAATTTGAACCAATTCCTCTCTTTTTATTTTTCCCTCTCTCTCCATATATATGTATTTATTGATTAAAATCAAAATCTAACATAAAGGCAAAGACATGAACAAGAGCAAAGATTTCATTTGAACAAGCCCAATTGGGTATGTCATTGAAAAGAAGAGAAATGGAGAGATTCAAAAGAAATGAGGTTTGGATAGGTGTCATTGAGAATAGAAATAAAATTTGCAGCTAAAAAAATCAACCTAAAGTACATTTGATGGAAAACTTAATAGGGACTAGATGGTAATTTAACTTTAAGATTTTAAGATAAACAAATTTCATCTACATGGATATATTAGTAAAAGAGAAACTTATGTGGTTTCAAAAATGAAATTTAATCATGTACATATTCCCAATTCATATAATCATCTGCCTAAAGTTAATTGTTCAATTTCTTATTACTTGAAAGAAAGTTCATAATCAAAATGCTCTCAAAACATTTCTCAAAAATAATGTTTAGAGTGAATTAGTATTTAATCTCCAAATTATACTCAAATACAATACTCAAGACTCTTATTTTCAGAATTTATTCACATAGTCCCGTCACTTTTAGTTTCGTTGCACTACTTAATTCTTATGTTTATTTTTCAATTAATTGCTAGTGAAATGTCATTATTGTCTCTAATATGCAAAAGCTAGTCATATTTGTGAATTTAATGTGGAGAAATATTTTTTCTTACTTGTATTTCATCAATAGGGACACATATATATATACACATACAAGATACTATAAACTTATTAGGAATCTAATATTTTTTCTTACTTTGTTTATTTCAATCAATAGGGACACATATAATATATACACAGTACTAAGATAACTATAAATTATTAGGAATCTAACTCCTAACAGAGTTATATTTACAACTAATCCTTAACACTCCACCTCAGAGTTGGAGCATAGATGTTTTTAATCATGCCCAACTTGTTACAAAAGATAGTCCACCCAAGGTTCCATTTAGAGCTTTTGTAAAAGATAATCTGCCTAACTGTTCAACTTGTTTTTAACAATGCCTGTAAGAGATAACGCCCTGTTGTATCTTTCATGAATGAAATGACAATCAGTCTCGAATATGTTTTGTTCGTTCCATTGGAATAACGGGATTGGATGCAATGTGATGTGAAGAGCAGCTTGATTATCACACCATAACTTTGCAGGCAAGGAAGACTTGAAGCCAATTTCCTCTAACAACTGACGAATCCAAATTAATTCACAAGCGGATTGTGCCATAGCTCAATATTCTAATTCAGCACTCGTTCGTGAGACTACATTTTGGTTCTTGCTCCTCCATGATATCAAGTTTCCACCTACAAAGACACAATATTCTAAAGTTGATCTTCTATCAACCTTCGAACCTGCCCTGAAGATCAACCTTCGAACCTGCCCAATCCGCATCTGAAAAATACTCAATGTCCAAATGCCCATGATTACTGTAAAGCAGGCCACGACCTGGATTACCTTTCAAGTAGCACAAAACAAGTAGCACAAAGTCTGTCATAAAGCTTCCCAATGGATGACAGTATGAGAAGACATAAACTGGCTTAAGACGCTCACAGAGTAAGCAATATCTGGACGTATTACTGTAAGATAATTCAATTTGCCTACTAACCTTTTATACATCTCAGGATCATCAAATAGCTCACCATCAATCGAAAGTTGCAAATTAGGAGTCATTAGAGCACTACAAGGCTTGGCACCCAACTTTCCAGTTTCCTTCAGTAAGTTAAGGACATACTTCATTTGAGATAAAAAGATGCCTCTCTTACACCTAGACACTTCAATACCCAAAAAATACTTTAACAATCCTAAGTCTTTTGTCTGGAACTAAGTTTGGAGAAATGCCTTGAGTGATGTGATGTTGGCTGAATCACTCCCTGTAATAACAATATCATCAACATAAACCACAAGTAGAATCAAACCAGTCTTAGTACTTCTGAAAAATACAGAATGAAAAATACAAAATGATCAGAAGTACTCTTCTGCATACCAAATTGATGTACCGCATTGCAAAATCTACCAAACCAAGCTCGAGGACTCTGTTTTAGGCCATAAAGAGACTTTCGAAGTTTACACACTTTACCCGACTCCACTTTACCGACTCCACCTGAGCAACCAAAGCCTGGTGGTTTATTCCATGTAAACTTTCTCCTGAAGATCCCCCCCATGAAGAAAGGCATTCTTAACGTCCAACTGATGTAAAGGCCATGCAAAAGTAGATACTAAAGAAATAAATAAACGAACTGAAGACAATTTGGCGACGAGAGAAAAAGTATCAGAATAATCAAGGCCATAAATCTGAAAATAGCCTTTTGCAACTAATCAAGCCTTGAGACGAGCAACAGATCCATCAGGATTTACTTTAACGGAAAAAACCCACTTACAACCAATGGCTCTCTTACCTGCCGGGAGATTCACAAGATCCCAAGTACCATTAGTAGCTAAGGCAGCCATCTCCTCTTTCATTGCTAACACCAACCAGGTGGGAACAAAGCTTGGCAATAGTTTTCAGATATAGAAGACAGAGGCCTAGTTACTTACAAACAACGAGATGAAGAAGAAAGATGATCATGAACTGACAAAAAGGAGGAATAGGATAGGTACACTTGCGTTTAACCTTTTCGGAAGGAAGAATGGGATAAGTTCCAGGTCTTAACTGGAGAAGTGGGATGGCACGCTCAATGTGACTGGAGTGAACCGAATCTTCTATTGGGAAGCGGCAGGGGGAAGGAAGTGAGTCAAAGTTCTGGTCTCCGCTGGTAATAAACCTGTTCAAAACGAGGGCGGCCAGATGCTGGTGCAAGGAGCGGGAATATGGAGTAAGATGTTGTAGCAGGAGCCAGTGCAAGTTCAGCAATAGGAGCAAGAGTAGGAAGAGTTATGGAAATTGTTGGATAGCAATGAAACTAAAACCTCATCAATCCTCCTCCACTCTTATAATATAGAAGGAAAAAATGGAGTATTCTCAAAAAAATGTGACATCTGGCAAGAAAATATATAACAAGTCAAGATCGGGAGAGAAACCGGCACTCCAACCATCCTCGGTCATTCCACGAATCTTATCATTAATTTACTAGTTATGTTAATTGAACCTTTTTGATGGTCGAGAAATACCCAAGAAACCACAACCGAAGGGACTTGTGAATCCAATTTGGAAACCTGTGGACGAACCATCACGAAACAAAACAAGTACAACCAAAAATACGAGGTTCAATGGGAAAACAAAGCTTAGAAGGAACAAGACATTATAAGGAATTTTCACCATTACAGCACAGAAGAAGGCATGCGATTAATAAAAAAACATGCAGTAGAAACAGCATCAGCCCAAAAATGTTTAGGAACCTTCATTTGGAATAAAGTGCCCCTAACAAAACCTCAAGAAGATCGTCGATTTTTTTCTTTCTCTGCAACCCCATTTTGAGAGTATATCAACACAAGATGTTTGATGGAGAATACTATTCTGTGACATATAAGATTGGAAGGAACTAGATAGATATTCTTTAGCATTATCACTGTGCAATATGCGAACAGATGTATTAAACTGAGTTTTAATTTCAACACAAAAGGAACAAAAAAGAGAGAATATCTCAGAACGAGTTTTCATTAAAAATAACTAAGTAACACGAGAATAATCATCCACAAAAGTCACAAAATACCGAAAGCCAGTTTTAGAAATAACGGGACATGGACCCCAAACATCAGAATGAACTAACTCAAAAGGGGATGAAACCCGTTTATTTACTCGAGGAACTAAAGGTAAACGATGATGTTTGGCAATGTTTGGCAAGTTTGGCAAATTGACAAGATTCACCATTCTAAAATTTGACAAGACTGAAAATTGCGGACATACTTCTTTTAAAGTAGACCAAATGAAGGATGACCCAAACCGATCAAGAATCTCAAGAGGAGACTAAACCACCAGCAGAAAAGCCATAAGATAAAGAAACTTATTCATCCAGAACGATAAGAAGGCCACTCAGACTCCACGTCCTCTTTACCAATCAATCCGCTTCGTTAAAGATCTGAAACACATACATATGTAGGATAAAATTTAACACAACAATTTAATTATACGAGTAAATTTTTGCTAACCGGAATCAGAAGTAGATTAAACGAAAAATGAGGCATAGCAAAAACAGAAGGACAATGGAAGAGATGGAATGGGATTGTGGCAGTGCAACTACACTAGACAGAGATGTGGACCCATCGCTAGAGTACATGACGATTAAATAGTTCATGGTTTTTTAAATGAGGAATAAGAGACTAGGGTTACCTGTTATGTGATACTGTGCACCAGAATCAATGACCCACTCTGATGAGGTAACATAAGACAAGACATAAGACATGAAGGAGTACCTGAATTGGCAACAGCAGCAATCGAGGAATCAGTAGACTTAGAAGAACGGTATCTAGAGAGCTCAGCATACTACGTAGCAGAAATTGTTATAGTGTTATCAGAAGAAGTAACTGCAGAATCTTGAGTGGCCATATTTACCCTTGAAGGCTTATTGATCAGTTTCTTGCAATACCATTTAGTGTGACCAAGTTCATGGCAATAATGGCAGATAAGAAATGGCAGATAAGAATACTTGCCTCTCAAGTAATTGGTCCATTACTACAGTTATTTCCTCCTCTTCCTCTATTTCCTGGCTGCCTAGATACCTGATGTCGACTCACAAGGGCACTATTATCAGAAGCTAATTTCAGAAGGGGAAGGGGATATGAAGAACCCTCGTAGCGTAGCCAATGCCTAGCAAAAGTCTTCTGAAGAGAGGTAACATCACTGCTGAAACGAACCTGTGATGTTTGGCAGTTTTAAAAACCGGACAAGACCTGCATAAAAACTCATCAACAGCCATTTGTTCTCGCTGGGTTCTGTTGAACCTTTACAGATCGGGACTAAAAGGCATTAAAACATTACGTTCCCTCGTAAATCTTCTTAAATTCCATGAATAGGCCTGTATAGGCGGCTATCTTGCTGGTCGGCTCGATAAAATCTTTACAGACTCATACATCGCGGCAGATTACCTTTTCCCGGTACAAAATTCAAAGATATTCCATTTAATTTCTTTAACAAACTCACAATGATGTATTAACCAACCCTTCACCTGTCCAATAGAATTACAAAATCAGAGAAATAAACTTAGCTCTTCCCATGAGCCAACGTTTATCAAGTGGTCACCAGTTGGTGATCATGCAGTGAGATGATCATCTTTTCAACACTACCGCAAATAATTCCTATTGGGTCTTACTACTAATTAAATAGTTAGGTCATCTTCAATTTATGCTCTGTGATTTTATTCATTGCTGGGTCAATTCAGTAAGCAGTAGTTTTAAAATCTGTTTAGGTGCAGGATTCATTTAATTAATGAAAAACTAAACACCGCCCTACAGGCAACCGCAGAAAGAGAAAACAAATAGCCTTTCAACGCAAACAGGGGCAAAAATAACTTGAAACGCCAAATTGACAAAACTGAGAACTCCCCTACCAAAACTTCGCCAGATTGGAAAAATAACCACCTAAGTAGATTGCCGAAGTGGAAACGAAGCCAGAGAAAAAATTCCGATCGCTGGAAATAGCCGAACGCGCCGCCACGCGCCGGCGCGTGGTACTGTAGCAGAAAACAAAAGGCAGCGCGTGAGGCCCACGCGGAGGGAATCCGGTGACCGGATTTGGATGGCACGTCGATCGGCAGCTGGGGAAGCTTCTGAGGTAGGCGGTGAGACAAAACGGTGACCCTAGAACGGTCACCGAGACTGACAGCCGCTGGAAGTGTAACACAAACGAGAAAAAAAAAATTTAACGAGCCCTGTGGCTCTGATACCATGTGAATTTAATGTGGAGAAATATTTTTTCTTACTTGTATTTCATCAATAGGGACACATATATATATACACATACAAGATACTATTATAATATACACAACAAGATGACTATAAATAGGGACACATATATATATACACATACAAGATACTATAAACCTATTAGGAATCTAACTCCTAACAGAGTTATATTTACAACTAATCCTTAACAATATTAAAATGTCATTATTGTCTCTAATGGATGCAAATGCTAGTTATATAGCTGTAAAGGCGCCTAAAAGAGTGAATTACTATTAGCACCCCTGTAATAATCAAATGCAGGGGGTTATGACCCCTTATTTTAATAATATAGTCTCTCGAATTTTCACTATACACTACTTAATCCTTTTGACTAATGGTAACAGATAGATTAAGTAGTTTAATAGAGATAAAACAAAGAGACTATAATTAAATCTGACAGTAGTGGTCTGACTAGCGTATTTTAGCATAATCAGGGGACTGAATGATACTTCACTTTAATATTTACGTTACCTACCAATTGAACAATGATGATTATATAAATCTTGTTATTTACCCAGATAAAGAACTGCATAGATCTTCAGATTTCAACTTAAAATAATTAAAAAGCAATTGCAGAAACCCTATTTTCTGAAGATACCCCGATCCTATTATTGATTGGCATGTCCATGCATCAATTGACCTCAAACATAGGCCGAAATTCTCATCCACATAGTTGGAAATATATTCATTCATTCAATAATTTGTTGAAGGTTGAGAACATTATTTTGATAATTTCTAATTAGTGTGACTTTTGGAGGAACATTATTTTTGGTTTCTGTTGTAAGCTTGCTGTAATAGCAAGCATGTTTGTTGGGTTAGGTAGTTCAGGCTTGAGTATTTAACATGGGTTAGTTATGGGGTAAAGCCAAGCATGATTAGGCATGGCCAACATCTACCTAGTACTTTCATATCTTGCAATTAGATCTATATAAACACAAAGGAAATCAATGAAAACGCTGCCTATTGAGGCTCCATTCCAGAACATGTGATCAGTCTGATGTGGCCAGCCCTTTGAGATTCATCTTAGGAACCTGTTTCTGTTTGTGCTGTGAACGATCCCTGCACTACCATTTCTCTACATAGTTAGAAAACAAAGGGCATCCCCATTTCACAAGGCTCCCCACTTTGTGAAGGTTAATGACTTAATGGAGGGTTATGCATCATAACAGCCTTCCCCATGCTTCTTTTACAGAAAGGCTGTTTCAAGACTGAAACCCACGAGTCACATACACGCACAAAAAAAAAAAAAAAAAAAAAAAACCATTTTATCAAGGCTCACCATCATTAAATGTTTAAAAAAAAATGTGCTAGCAAAATGCAGATGGTTGCAAGATTACGAAAAAGAACTAACATATTTTGAATATGCAACAAAAAACAAATTTCATTGAGAATTTTAGAGGTTCAACCATACCAAAAGAAATTGTTTCAAATTTCCTCCAGATGATACATCCTGAAGAAACCGCAAAGCACGGTTAACCTCAAGCCCAATTGACCTGCCAATACTGACGAATAACTCATCAGGTACCACAAGGCGGGGGACCTTAGAAGGGGATCTGTTTACAATGAAAAATTTATTACAAAACAGGTATTTGTGAAAACAGAGTAATACCAACCTAAAAATAACAAACAGTACAGATGAGAACTTGTATACTTACACATTTAATAATCCTGAAGCATTTTTCCACACAAACTGAGTAAGCATACCGAGAACCAGTGCAAGGCATACAAGAGTCAGAAAATGGTAATTGAGCCATTCAAAGAGCACCCAAATGGCCGTTGCAACAGTTAGCACACTGGCTGAGATCTTCTTATTCCTCCATAGAAGAACATCAGCAGCTATACGATTTTGCATAGAAAGACAAGGGAGAAAATATTAAGTGTTGCATTGATGAGGACTGCGAGAGAAAGAGCGAGAGAGAAAGAAATGATCCTACATTTTCCACCTCCCAGAAGATGGTGAACTGGCTTCTGACGTCCAAACAGCCTATTGAAACGAGAAGTTACCGAGCTTGACTCTTCCTCAAAAAATGACACAGATTTCTGCTTCGGAACACTGTCAGCAAGGGTTTCTACTAGGTTGTTAAAAATTTTCTCTGCTGTTATTTTCTCAGCCATATCTGTGATCTACAAACCAAATACAAATTATTGTCATAAATTGAAGTCATGCTGCAAGTTTCAATCACAGAAAATAGAGGAATTCTTGGAAAGGTAGATTTAAAAAAGAAAAGAAACAGATACAAAAACATCCATAAAAGGGTGGGTAAAAGAGAAACAAATTCTTCAGGCCTTGATGAATGAGATCAAAACAATCATATATGATGTTCTTTATTTTACTTGCAAAATTAGAAATTCTATCTCCTAAAATTTTCTTCTTCCTTTACATTTTCAAACTCAAATGCGAAAAAAATTAATTAATTGCAAAATATCCTTTGTTTGAATTCCTTGTTGAAATTAAATGAAATTAGTTAAAAGAAAAATAATACAGCCAGCAAAAATTTCAAAAACCAAATAATTGAAACCCTAAGTTATTACCAGAGGTTTTCACTTCCCATACGATCATTCAAGGAACTGAACAAAGACTGATTGAAATCAACAACGACAACAAGAAGGAAGTAAAGATCAACCGTGATCAACATTTTAAAGAAAGAAACAGCAGATTCTTGAAGATAAGAGTATAAATATTACTAGTAAACAGAAAAAATTAAATTAAATTAAATTAAATTTGAAAAAAAAAATTATAAAAGCAGAGGTAAACAACGGTACCTAATGGAGAGGTTGAGAGAAGAAGAGGCAGATGGAAAGGTCGTTTGAGTTAAATCGTTGAGGTTGACAAGGTAAATTAATAGCAGTTAGCAGCGAAGAAGAAGACAGAGTAGTGGGCAGTGAATAAAAACAAGAACAAGAATACTGACTGGAAGGGCTACTTCCAGTTGCTCTTCGCGGTCCCCTCTTTATTTTGGAAAATCACGACGGTCGTTGTTCCTAGCTAGTAGTTTATTTTATATTTTTATCATAGAGAAAAACACTTTCGAAAGAAAAAAAAAAAAAAAGCAATATGAATCAAATTGGTCGTTAAACCGTTGAAGGGAAAGATTTATTGAGCCAATAGGTTTGATAGGGTTTAATATGAAATACTTTTTTGTCCTATTTTATTTACATAATTTGATAAAATATATATATTAAAAATTTAACCAATAAAAATTATTTTATCTTTTTTTTCACTATTAATTCATTAAGATATTAATACAAATTTTTCATTTAATAAATAATAATTGTTTTTCATTTATGAGAAAAATAATTATTTATATATCTAAATTTAAAAACCTTGCAAATATTTAACATCCAAAAAAGAAATAACAAGCAAATAAAATGGGATAGAATGAACATTTTTTTAAATACAATTGCAAATATAAAATTTTGTAAGTATTAGATAACTTTTATAAAAAGTTTAAAAATGATTAATATTGTTCACCATTCAATCACATTCAATAATTTATATGTTGCATTAAAAGTCTACAGTATTTTTCACCATTCAATTAAATTAAACAATTCAAAGTAGGATTCAATTCCATTTGGATCTCATTAATTTACAACCGAATTTTTGGCCCATGAAAAAATATTGCATATGACACAAGTATCTAGCTTTGTTTGTGAAGCTTAACGGACCAAAACTCTGTTGGACAACAACGTAGTAGCTTTTAAACTAGCTTCACAGTATTTGATAGCACAGTATTTAAATTGACTTTTAAAGATTAATGTATCGCTTTATAAAAAATTAACTCATATAATATTTAGTTTTTAGCATTTTATGAAAAGCTATTCAAACAGTTAACAAATAAGGCTCTATTCGGTAAGAGCGGAGTAGTGTTTAATATTTTAATTGAGTTAAAATACTATTTTAATTAATTATTGTATTCGATAATTAAGGTTATCCTAATGTTTAAAGTTTGGACAGTGTTTTATGAAACGATATCCTCATTAACGTTTTGGGTTTTATAAATTTTTTATCAAGCTTATGCCCATCATTTGTCATTGTCTTGTTCTCTATGATCTTATTCTTTTCTGTCTTTTTATATTAAACAAACAGCTAATCAAACACTTATTCTTACCGAACACTTCTGTTTTAAACCGTTGTACAAACAACTAACCACTAACAACTAATATCTATCCGCTAATAGCTAGTAAAACGGCTGACAATTACTATAACAGCTAACATATACATATACTAGAATCGTAAAAATTGTCGAAATACTCATAAAACAGCTTATAGCTATCAAAATAATTAATTTTGCCGAATAAATCCTAAACTTTAAATGACTAATGGGGAAACAAAAAAAAAAAAAAAATCCTACAACTTTAAATGGATAATGCACAACACACACACACACACACACACAAAAAAAAAAAAAAAAAAAATAGCATGTTGTTTTGTAACAATGTTTATTATAATTCTTCAAGATAATACAAAAACAATCCCTTAATGTTCACCCAAATTAAGATTTGATTTGAATTTAGCATATGTCCTAACTATTACAGTTTTAAAACAGCAAACCAACCATTCAAAATGCATTTTGCTGCATCTAAAATGATGCATTTTGGAAAAATAAATTCCAAAATTAATGTCAAACAAAAGCTAAATAAAAACAAAACATTACTTTACCGTAGAGACTAAAATTTTATCAAGATAACAATAACATAACCAAACAGCAAAGAATCCAAATGTTAGGTTAAAGAAAAAAAAAAAAAAACAAAAGTCATTTAGCAGAAATTAGAAAAGCTAATAGACAACTACAAATTAATTATACTACACCTTAAGTAGTTGTTGGTCGTGGGGCTGTTATTTTTGCCCTAATCAATGATGCCAAAACCTCAACTAAAGCATATTTTTGTCAGGTATTTTTTACTTTCGTGCACCTACGCAAGAATAACTTCACAGGCGAAATCCTTCCCAGCTAGTTCAAGCAGTTTTACAGGGGAAATTTCGGATTTTATCGGATTTTACTGGCGGATTCTTTATTTGAATTTGAGTACCAATTCGCTCAATGACATAATTCCATTGTAGATATCTACGCTTCGATCATTGATATCGACCCTTCTCAAAATTTCCTTACCGGCTCAATCTCTTCAAATTTCGACGACTACACCACTTTAAAGAGCTTATATGTATCCTATAGTCACTTAACGGGACCAATTCCTGGATCTGGAACGATATTTCTGAACTTGCATCCATCTTCCTTTTCCAGTAATGATGGAGTCTGCTACCGCATTTTAGCCAAATCATGCGCCGCGAACACGTTAGCAATGACAAAGTTGAGGCCCGCCATAAGCAACAATTGAGGAAGACCGCTGGAACATCGTGTGGATCATGGCAGCCACGTTCGGTATTGGGCTATTTGTGCTTCTTGTTGGATCATGGATTACCTTTCATTTTTCCCTTCTTTTTCAAGCTGATTTTGAACAGTATCAAATACATGAATCATTTCACCAAATTTTATCCGGTTTGACCCGATTTACAGCTATTTATATATTTCGGATCACCCAATCCAACCCGGACCAGACTATGATCCGGTCAGTCCGATTTTTAAAACAATGGAAACAGAATAAATTTATGAAGAAAAAGCCAGAACATTTTAGTAACTTGATTTATTTTTTCTATAACATATATATTTTTTCTTGATTATTATTATTATTATTATTGTCTCTATATATAAAGTTTATTTTTTTCATTCCTTCCATGAGAGTTTATGATGCGCCTCATAAATGTGTCTCAACACCCAAAATCAGATTTGAGATATAAACTTAAAATTAAAAACTAAACATTTATAAGCTAAGAAACTTTAAAAACTAAATAAAACATAAAGCTAATTTAAATAGATCTAAATATGCTAATTAAAACTTATAACTAAATAATAGACTCAAGGTTTCCATGTTTAGATCATGTTATTAGCTTGGATCTTCTTTTGAGCCTACTTCTTCACCTTCGAACTTGTAGATCCTCGTGGTGACCGTGTGTTTATTGATTTTCATTACTTGACACACATTTACCCTCTTTCTTGAAAAGGATTTGTCCTCAAATCTGAATTTCTATTGCTTTATAAATATGTTGGTGTATCCCTTTCTTCAAGTGCAACTAGATCAATACATACTCCTAGATCAAATGGCAAGTTCTTGAATTCCTTATCTTGGATAAGATCAGACTGAAAAGAGTATAAACTCATCTCTCCAAGCCAAAAGAAGTATTCTCTTTTTAGTTCCAAAATCTTCATTTTGTTATAATTTTGCACTCTTGACCTCTTACTATAGATTACAACCAAATCAAAGTGAACACTAGGGCTGTAAAAATGAGCTGAGCCAAGCCGAGCTTTGGTGAGCTTGAGCTCGACTCGAGCTTGGCTCGATAACCATAAATGAGCCAAGCTTGAGCTTGAGCTCGAAATCTATTAACCAAAAAAACGTAATTTTAATATAGGTTTTAATTAATTTTGTCTTATTGAGTTAGCTCGTGAGCTCAACTTAGCTCGATAAGGCTAGATCGTGAGCTCGACTCGTTTATTAAACGAGCTCGATAGCTCAACTCAAGCTTAGCTCGATAAGCTTATTGAACAAGCTTGAGCGAGGTTTTACCGAGCCAAGCCTCGAGTAGCTCACGAGCGGCTTGTCTCCTTTACAGCCCTAGTGAACAATAACATAATTATTACTAAATTTACAAGGATTACATTTTATTGATTACATGAACGTGCTATGTGATTTTTTTTTTAAGTACATAATCAAAATGACATGCTATTCCTTCAATAGATAATGGCTCCTTTTATAATCCCATTGAAGGAACAAGAACCTTGTCTTCTAAAATTTTAGAAAATGTAGAAGTAGAAGATAAAAATAACTCCTTGAATAGCTCACTCTTCTTAATCTCACCAACTTCCTCAAAAAAACACAAGATTCACCGAGACAACCCACAATTTGTTGCACATTCATGATATTTATTGAAGAAGCTTCAGCCACAAGATTTTTATGTTGTTTGTTCCCCTTAACTAATAGCATATTTTCTATATTCTCTAAAATTAATAGCTCTAATTCACCCTTCATTATAAATAAACTTTTCCCTTTCTTTTCTACAACAGAAGATTATTAACTTGTACTTGTCGTGAATTGAAAAGCACTAAAAGTTATTTTTCTCTCATCCTTTGTTAAAGAACAAGTTCCTTTGACACTATCATGATTGGACTTTTAAAAGCAAGCGACTAAAACTCATTGGAGTCACATGACATAATAAACTCATCTTTGTACCACCCTGTTGAAAATAGAACAAAAACTTGTATAGTCATCCTTGCCTTACTGCTTTTGTTTAGCTATTGAAGCTTGTATGAATGAGGGTGCATGATAATAAATAATCCAAGTTTTTCCACCAAGTAGAAACTATATTGACACAACTGTCTTCATTAATAATAACTCTACAAATCTTATTGCTACTTAAATAATTTTTTTCAATACTAAAAATAGAGATTGCTATCCCTGAAACCGACAATAATAAAGCTTACCTCCAATGTAGCTTTTGTTTTATTATTGAGCTATATAATTTCAAGTTTTAGTCTAAATCACCGATAATTACATATATTGATGAATAGACAAACCAGATATAAATGGTTAAAACCAGCCTTCCAACTATATATATGTGTGAATATACCAAGCCTTCCAACTATACTATAACGTAATATATATATAACTATATATATATATATATATATAATATATATAATAATAGAATTACATCCTTGCATTTGCCCTATCAGGAGATGATAAAGAAACAAAAACTGACGAGAGAAAATATATATATACATACATCCTGCATTTTGCCTATTCAGGAGATGATAAAGGAAACATGAAGATGACGAGAGGAAATTTGAAGTGATTACAAGTAAGATAGGGTACTTAAATTCAAGGAAATAAAAATGATAATATCCACAAATCAACATCCTCCATGGAATTAAGTACTCTCTAGCTCTGACACTTTGCAAAAAAGAAGTAATAGCCCAAAATAAACACAATAGATTAACTTGATTTACATAAAATTCCTCTTCAAGCAACACTAAAGGAACTGGCAGCGCTTTCTACAAACTTTCTTGCACCTTTGAACCACCTTTTATCTCCAGCTTGTGCTTTGCAAATGTAAAGCTTCCCATCTTTCACAGCAGCTGTGATCAGTAGGTGCTTTCCACCTTCATCTCCGTCTGCTGTCCTTGTCAACACTGTTATAGAGTAATATTGTTTTCCATTGATCTGTGGGGTTGCTGTCTCCAATATGTTGGCTGTTGCCACAGCATTTGGGTCAAAGCCTCCCTGCAAAGTGCTCATCAATTTCATCTCTACTTTCTTATATCAAATTATCCAAATACAGGCAGGTAAAAAAAAAAAGGGTTTGTTTGTTTCAATTGAGATAAACTAAATTGGTAGTTTTGGACCCATGAAACACTTGTCAGGTTAAACTATTAAAGAAGACTATTATAGAGTAGAAAACACAATAAAATATTAAAGTTACCTCAGAATCGGTTTTGCCGAAATAAGCCTGTTTTCCTAGCAGAAAATTCACCTGGAAAATTGATGGCTTTTTAAGCAAATTGGATAATGGGAAAATTGAAGAGCAAAAAAGGTTAATTTAAGTATTGTTACCTGAGCAAGGAATTCCTCTGGAGAACCATAGTCAGTGATAGATTTCTTATCGGTGGGAATGATCATAACAGAAAGATTGCTGTTGGAATCAAAATTGTCCTCATATCTGAGAACTTGACCGGGATACTCAACCTCCTTGCTTGGGTTCCACTTTGATGGAATTAGCACTTTGAATCCCTCTCCACTGTATGGCAAGAAGTCTGTGTTTGTTTTCGGCTTCCCGAAAACATTAGCAGATTCACCATAGGCAGCATCGGCCGGAGCAACCTTAGAGCCGACGGCTGCAGCCCCGATGAGGACTGTTAGAGCCAGTCTTCGGGACACGAGGCTCAGGCTAATATCCTCATCCTGAGCTGCCTGCTGCTTCTGTGTGGCTCTGCAGATCAGTTGGGTGGGCTTAGAAACTTGCCGTTGGGATAATGAAGATGATGATAATCGATTGGTAAGAGCATGGTGGTGCAAGAAACATGAAGTGGATGCCATTTTCTTTCACTTCACTTGCAGTTTTTTCCTTTGATTGGTTTTGTTTTGTTAGACTTTGTGGCGTTTTTGTTTGAGTGACCTGTGACCGCGAATGGATATTGGATCAGATTTTTGGATGTGAGATAAGGTTCTATAGGCTCTCAATGGTGCCACGTGGCACTAATACTTCATTTTTCTCTTCGCAGCATCCCATCGGGTTTTCAATCAAGATCCGTGAAAACAATCGAAATACTTATTTATTTTACTAAATCTAAATATATATTTCATTGAGAAAGAGAAGATGACTGTATTGCTAAGTAATGCAAGGCTTTACCAGATTTTTCCCAATAAAATTAGTAAGTTTGTCTGTGCATTGCTAGTTACCGGTAAGGGTGGCCATATTACGGTTTCGGAAACCGAAACTGTCGGTTCGAACCGGTCCCGAACCTTAATAGGAACCGGTTCGAATCGGAATTGGAGATTTTTGATTCGGTTCCGGTTCTAGATTTGTGGAACCGCAAACCGGCGGTTCCACAAAAACGGTCGGAATCGAATTGGAACCGCTGGTTCTCTGGCTGGTTAGAACCATCGGTTCGAACTAGTTTGAACCGGCGGTTCTAGCCGTTAGAAACTGTCAGTTTTGTGTTTTTTTTTTAAAAAATTTTGTTGTGAAATCTCTTAATTAGTCAGTTTTTGTGTTTTTTTTTAAAAAATTTGTTTTGTGAATCTCTTAAATTACCCCTCCCAAATAGCCACAAATTGGCTACATAACGGCTAGTTTCAAGAGTTATTTTTGGAAAAATAATTTTTTGGATTTATTATAAAATACCTTTATTTCATTTACAAATTCATCACAAAAAAATTTCTCTACTCTTCTCTACCTTACTCTCTCTACCAAATTATACTACACTCTACTACACTCTACTCTATATTATTCTTCTTACTTCTACAATCCTTATTAAGTTTATTATTCTCTTTAATTTTTTTATTCAAATTTTCCAAATTATATCTTATTATCATATAAATGGCAAGATAGAGGAAACTCAAATTCGGGTAAGGGCCAAGGGAAAAATTGGAGAAACACAATATTCATCTAATCCCTAACAAACGATATATTTGATTCACTCCTTAACCAATTTAATTTTTGAAGAGATTATCCAAATGAAAATTTGAAATTCCAACTGAAGGAATCTGAATTTAAACAATGAGCAAATTACAAGAAGAGGAAGAGCAAGAGCAAGAGCAACGAGCACAAATTGTTGAAAGAGCAAGACAAAGTTCTGACATATTCGCCATTCATTTTCACGAAAAAATTCAAAAGGTGAGAAAATGTATGATGTAATTTGTAATTATTGTGGAAAATCTTATAAATTTAAATAAACGAAAACGGCTATAGATCATTTTGGAAGCATTTGGAGACAAAATATCCAACAAAAATAGGAGTTGATCGGTCTGTTAAACACAAATTTCCGGGTACGCCATCTTCTAACCTTTCTTTTATTTCAATATTCTGAAAAAAAAATACAAAAAGAAGAATTTAGCAAAAAATGATTTTTATTTGAAACATTTATCTTTTAGTTTTGGTGAAAAAGTAGGTTTCAATAATTTATTGTTCCAAAAAGCTTTAAATCCTTTTACTAAAGAGTGCCAAGAAATACTGTAAAACAAACAATTATTCTTTATATTAATAAAGGAAAAAAAAGAGTTAGAGCTTTTATTTTCTCAAAAATGAAAAATTCGTATTTGTTCAATTTATTATGATATTTTGGAGTGATCATGGCAAATGGCATTCTTATAATGGGCATCACAATGTCATTGGATTGATATGATTTGGAAAATTCAAAAAAGAATTTATTGCATTTTTCGTGTTTTTTTGATGTATAAACATACTGCAAATAATATTTCTAGAATAATTGTTTCAATTAGATGAATATAAGTTTTGAAACAAAAAAATTTTTTCAATTTTCATTTGCATAATGCTTCTACTAATACTAAATCAAATTATTGAAAACTTAAAAAATATTTTTGTGAACCAAATATTGGTGCTGAAAATTTTTTCATATAAGATGTGCATGGCCATTGCCATGTTTTAAATTTATGCGTAAGATGGTTTAAAAATTCTTGAATCTTTTATTTCTCCAATTAAAAAAGCTATTTCATATTTATGGGAATATCCCCAAGTGATGAAAAGTTGGGCTAAATTTTGTAAAGAAAATAATAAAAGACCAAAACGTTTTCCAAGGGATGTCCCAACTAGTTGGAATTCAACATATGAATTACTAAACCAGTCTTTTTCTTATAAAGAATTATTATGCTTTTTTGTTACTAATGATATTGAAGATATTAATTTATATCCACAAAATTGGGATATTTGTGCAAAAATTTTAGATATTTTAAAAATTTTTAATGATGCTACCTATAAAATTTAGTGGGGTTTATTTTTATTTATCCCACAATCTCATTTTATTTTTACCTATGTGTATTAATATTGTTATGTGCACTCTAAACAAGAATTTGAAAATGATTGTATATTAAAAGATTATATTTTTTCAATAAAAAAATGGTTATCTTATTTTAAAAATATACCACCATTTTATCTTGTTGCAATTGTATTTGATACTAGATGTAAAATTGATGTTTTATGTGAATATTTGACTATTTGTTATGAAGTATTAAATCTTGATATAGAAGATAATGTTAATATAAATTTAGTATTGCATAAAGTTAAACAAAACATTATGCAATTATATAATGAATTTGTTCAATTTTCTAGTTCATCTACTTCTAATTCTTCTCAATCTAATATTCAACAATTTCCAACACAAAGGGTAAGGCTGTTGCCGAACGTATTTTACTACAAAGACAAAAAAACCCTAGGGAATCTGGTTCTTTTTCTGAATTTGATAATTATCTAACCACTTCTTTCGAGTTTGGTAATAATTATGCATATAATAAATTTTCAAATTTAGATTGGTGGAGTCATTACCCTTATACATTTTCAATACTTTCTCTAATTGCAAAACAAGTTTTAGCAGCTCCGGTCTCCACTGTTGCGCTTGAACAAGCTTTTAGTCAAGGAAGAAACATACTTGATGAAACACGATCTCGTATGGCACCCGATTCACTAGAAGCACAATCATGCGTGGATGGTTGGAGCAAGTCCGAAATAAGAGCAAAAGAAAATTTCAAAAAAAAAAAAAATGAAGATTTATATGATCTTTACAATGGGTCCTCAATGGGAACATCAACCGGTAGTGGAAATAGCGAATAAGGTAAAAGGGGTGAAATTAGTATAAGGTAAGTAAGAACTATGTAGGCTTTGATTCCTCTAAACCCTAAGAGGATATGTAGTCAACTTAATTAAAAAAATTAGGTTCAAGCCCTTTTTTTTAAAAAAAAAATTAAGTTCCAAATTTTTTAAACAAAAAATAAATTCAGTTGAAGGCTTTTTTTTTTTTTTTAAAATTAATTCAAGCCTTTTTTTTTCTTTTTTTAAATTATGTTGCAAACTTTTCTTAAACAAAAAAATATTCAGTTGAAGAATTGTTTTTAAAAAATAATTAAGTTCAAAGTTTTTAAAAAATTAAATTTAATTGAACCAATTTTTTAATCTGTTTTAGGTGTATTTTTTTTACAACATAACTTTCAGTATCACAAATTTAATTAATTTTGTTTTTTTACAAATAACTTTCACAAATTTATTAAATTTTGAAAACCGGTCTTCAAATTTTAAAATTTAAAATTATGCGATTTGCCAAAAAACCGATCGGAAAACCGTCGGTTTTGACACCGTACCGGAATCGGAACTGGAACGGAAACCGTTCAGTTCTAAACCGGAACTAGAACTGGAAATTTTCGTTTTGGTTTCGGTTCCAATTTTTTTGGAACCGGAACCGCCGGTTCCGGAACCGTGGCTACCCCTAGTTACGGGTAAGCATTTGTACTAAAATATATATACATAATTAGGGAAAAAATAATTATTTTATCCCTAAGGTCTTACAAAATTATTATCTCATTCTCATATTTTTGTCTATTGGATATTTAGTCTTTGAAATTTGATTATGTCTCATTAAATGGTTTTTTGGTTCGAAATCAGTTCTTGGTTTCATTAATAAGATGAAAAAGTAAGAGAGAGGAGAGAGAGATATTTTACAATAATAAATGCACTCTTGACAAAATCTAAAAAAATCATTTTACATGAATCCATTATCACTAACAAATAAAAATAGAGTATTCATTGCAGCCACCGTTACAGCCACCACTAGCAACAAAAGAGTACCTCATCAAAAAGTACATTTTTCAATTGAAGCTAGAGTTTGTGAAAAAAATGGAAAACCTTCTCAAATCAGAACTTGATAAAATTTTATCACATCCCATTTTTATCTTTAAACAACCAAACAAGTAAACACAGAATATTATAGTTACATTATTTCCATACTCTTAAAAATTATGAGGAAATAAAAGAAAATCAGCATCCAAATGAAAGAGAAATTGACAAACAACTTAACATAGTAACAATGCAAAAATTGATTAAAGAAATAATATAAATCTAAGGAAAGAGAGAGTTACCATAAGGAAACAATACAGTTTTTTGGGGAGATGGAAAGATGAAAAAGTAGAAAATTGAAAGGGAAAATTTCGACTACTGCAGAGAAGAAGAAGAAGACAGTGGCTATCGTGAGAATGGATTAAGAGGCAATTAATTTTTTCGTTTTGAAATACTCAATCTCAAAATCAACAATCATTCTAAAAATCAACACTTGATCTCAAAATCAAAAAGGTATCTGTAAACAAGTTCAATTTTGAAACAGTCAATCTCAAAGTCAATAACCATGTTGCTTTGCAAAAGATGAGAGATGGTAAAAAAGATGAGAGAAGCTTTTGAGTTCAGTTGGTGCTCTAGAGAGACAAACCTTTTGTTGCTGCTATAGTGGCGTTGGAGCACAAGAAACGGTTGGTGATGGAGATGAAAAGGAGGAGGAAGAGGAGAGCTGTAGAGATTCAAGGGGTCTCCAAAAGTAAAGAGAGAATGAGAGAAGATAGATAATTTTATTTTATTATATTATTATTATTTAATGGAAAATGACGCTGATT